TCCAGGAGAGATCTACCAGCAGCAGAGACATGGGAGCAAAATAGTTCCAGTGGCCACTTGCATCTTGCATCTAGAGTCTTCTCTGGTGCTCAGAGCTTTCCAGTTTTCACCAGTGACTAAATTAAGCTCCCAGATTCCAGAGTCATAGAAATGAACAATGTACCCAACAGTAAAGCAAGCAATGCTTTATTAAAAGAGGAGATAGAATTATGCAGAAGGGGGGTAGCAACAGTAAAGCTAGCCTCCCAAGGGGAGCTGTTTAGGGTCTTTTATAGGGAAAGGAGTTAAGGGGTGGCAGGCCAGTGTCACTGGAGGTGGTCCGTTCTGTTCTTCCTGGTTGCGTCATGTGTGCATGCTCAGTAGCACATGAACACCAGTGTCACCCCAGGAGGGTCATTGTAGCAGTCACCTTGATGCTTTGTGCACAGGTGGGAATTCCTAAAGGGGTCTTAAGGTTAATCTGTAACTTTTACAATCATAGTAAACAAGTCTTGGGGAGGGGTTTTGCAACTCAGCAAATATGTTTCCCCTCTCAGTCTATTTTGTCAGGACAGCCCATGGGGTAATCATTTGCCCTGGGGGGGGGGTCTCATGACTGAGGAGTGGAAAAGTAACAGTGTCCTCTGCAGGGAAAATGGAGTCAGTTTGGCTCCCAGGCCTAGCCTTACTCTGTTTCACGTTTGAGCTCCTCTCTTCTGGCCATTTGAGAACATATAATAAGTTATTGTTAGTTATAGATGCCTAGCTCTACTATATATCACTAGAAATTATTTTTCCTATCTAGCTGTAATTTTGTGTCCATTAATCAACTTCTCCCCATTCCCTTTCTCCTTCCCTTTTTCAGCCTCTAGGAACCACAATTCTACTCTCTACTTCTAAAAATTCACCTTTTTTTTCTTTTTAGCCCCCACATATGAGTGAGAACATGCTGTATTTATCTTTTTGTGCCTGATTTATTTCATTTAACGTAATGTCTTCCAGGCTAAAAAAACTGACCAAAACAAAACAAAACAATATAAAATAATCTACACTGTTCCTGTATGTGTAATATTTGCAGTTCACTTTTCTTGTTTTGACATGATAAGTATGCACTGGCAATAAAAAATAAATAAAAAAAAATTAAGGTGAATGCTAATTTCCTAGCTCATGGGGCCTGCCCAGTCCAGGCATGGTGGGGAGGGATTACATGGACTCCCACGCAGCTCTCACTATTTACTTGTACTCGAGATTATAGAGCAGAAGGAAAGATAACAGGGAAACAATAATTGTTTTTAATACCTCATGAAGATATTAAACCCCAGTTGAACACGGAAAGCCATGGTGTTTGTTGCTGGATGCGTGTTATCTTGATAGAATTACCTGCAGCAGGAATTTATCTGGGCACACTTTTCTGTGTCTCATCCCCAGTGACTCATTCAGGAAATTTGGTACTAAGTAATTTATATTCTCAGTTAGTAGCTGACTGACAGATTGTACTTTGTCTGACTTAGCTCTAGACACTGAAAATGACGTAGTTATAAATAACTATATTAACTACCTGTATAAGATTTATAATTACTAAACTATACTGGTCACATAGTGGGGGAATTATTAAATTAATAGGTTTATAAAGCATTTTTATTTACAAAGCGTTTTCATTTAATTTTTCACATTTTATTTTCAAAATATATATATATACAAGTAAAATTTATGTTATTTTATTATTAGCATTATTAGTATTATTGCTATGCCCATTTCCTTATAAGTGAATGAAGGGTCAGAAAGAAGTTAACTTTCTAAATAGCAGACATCCAATAAACATAGTACTTTGACATTTTTAATAATGATATTCATTGCTTTACTTCACCATATCTCCATAACATCTTATTTAAAATAAGCATTTCTTAGCACAAAATAAATGTTAAAATAATTTATAATACAAATCTTAGGGAGAATATATTCTTAAATAATTTATGTTTATTTTTATGCTGTCCTTTACTTTTCTTCTTTAGTACCAATAAACTACATTTTACTGACAATGGCCAAGACCGAGGTCTGTCATTCCCATAAAGGGTCAGGTGAATTATACCCTGCTTTTATGCTCTATCAAAATTTATGTGGCTGGTGACTGTTTTTAGAGGAAGGAGTGAAGTGTATCCCAGGAGACTTATTTAACAATCGACTTTGAGATAATAGGTTGCTAGATATTAGTGACTTCCTTTTTTATCTACTTTGTTAACCTACTCTTATGGGTAGCTCTGATGTGTTGGTTCAAAGAATTAGCAGTTTGGGGTTCTCTTATAAAGACTTTCAGAGTAACATTTTATGTCTGTACTTACCATTGTTCCTTAAATAAATTCCACAAATATTTAGGATCCATTTTTACCATAATTCCATCCATAATAGGTGCAGAACATAAATCTCTGTTAAAACGTCCGAGTGCCAGAATTACCATTTCAGAAAATAAATTGATAGATGCCATAGGAATTAACCTAAATTTTTTGTAGCTGATTCTATTCCAATTACTAATGATTCTGCTATATCAGATGTGTGAGAAAATTAAATGACAGCCTATTTTTGTCTTTAATGAAAAGAAATTTATTGTCCCCTGTGTCTAGCTCACCCTGTGTTTATGTTTCTCTTTCACTTTCAGGGTGTGAGAGGAGCCTTGAGCAGGTACGTTTACTTTCTGAATCAGTGAAGGGGCTGGGAGAGGCAGAGGAGGAAGGTGTATAACCCAAGTGAAATCTGACTGTTCTCTGCTCTCCTCAGAAGTAAGGCTGTCACACGGCTCGAACCAGACACCATCCCCACGGAGCTGAAGACAGTATGTCGCATCCCTGGCATGAGGGAAATGTTGAGGAAGTTCCAAGGTCGGTTGCATCCTAGGTTGCATCCTATGATGCCTGGGTTTGGCTGTGATTGCATGTTGTTACTGTGCTAGGCAGGCTGCAGTAACTTAACAGAACCCAAAGTCTTCATGGCCAAAATCAGCAAGATTTTTCTGAACAGCCTGCTGTTGATTGATTACTGAATTGTGGGGACTTTTGTGTCACAACCTCTCACTCTGAGATCCATGCTGACAGAGCTCCATCTCCTTCTGGGTGCTGTTGGTGATTGGAAAGGGAAAGGTGATTAAAGAGATAGGGAGGAAAGGGGCTATTTTCCCCCCTATTCTCTTACACAGTCAGTACAACACATCTCTGGTCACTAAAACATGTGGAGATTTCTCCCCAGCAACAGCCAGTCTGCTACCGACCTAGACCTGGAATGCCAGGTTCTTTGGGAATCAATGTCATGGAAATGAACACTGAACCCATAGTGAGAGTGAGCAAGCTACGTTTTTTGATAGATCGCTTGTGCACAAGGGGCCAGCACGAAAGAGGAGTGTTGCTCCCCAATTGTTTAGTGTGAGGGGATTTTTAAGGCAAAAGAGTTGGGTATGGGAAAGAGGGTGAGGTCTCCAGTCTCATGATTGGGGTCTTCCTCAGTTGGTCAGGGCGTTCTGTTTTCAGCTTCGTCAGGTGGGGACCTCATTTTCTCTTGAGGCCTGTAAAAGAATGCTTACACAAGGGGGCTAAGCAAACTTGGGTAATGACACGCTTGTGGGAAAGAGATATACCAACGTATTTAGGGCTTATCTATAACCCCTGTCCTCTCTGGTGTTTCCTGGAACAGGATGTGGTCTGTTGCCTTGAGGGTCTCTGCTGCATTTCCAGCACAGAGACTACTGCTGGGTTCTCGGAGCAGAGAACAAAACACAGTCTCTCCTGTCAGCCCTATCCTTACTTCTGCCTCACATCCATTCTGCAGCAGATTCTGCAGCTGGTGTCTTCTAATTCAATTCAATTCTGACACTATCTACGTGAAGATAGCATCAGATCCCACAGATTAAGGGCTCAGTCCCAGAAGACTTCCCCCACTTTAGTGCCAGTTGCAAGCACAGATTGTGCCTGTGCTCCTGAAAAACCAGCTACAAATCGGGTTTCCCATAACCCCCTCCTGGGTTCGACTAATGTGCTAAAGTGGCTTACAGACCTCAGAGAAAAACTTCCTTACATTTACCCAGTTTTTAAAGGAAATTGTAGAGAATGCAGATGAACAGCCAGATGGAAGAGATGAATAGGACAAGGTATGGGACCTTCCATTCCCCTTCCTTGTTCCCTTTCTGGGCGTGCCACCCTCCAGACACCTCGTGTTCAGCTGTAGGAAGCCTTTAGAACTTAGTCTCTTTGAGGTTTTGTGGAAGCTTCATTATGTAGGCATGATTGATTAAATCATCGGTTATTGGTTTATTAATTCAACCTTCAGCCCTCTCAGTGGTGAGGGAGGGTGTGTAGAACTGAAAGTGGCAGCCCTCTACATGGTTGGTTCCCCTGGCATTTATCTTATTAGCATGCAAAAAGGCATTCTTATAGCTCCGTAGATTCTAAGGATTTTAGGAGCTACATGTCAAGAATTGTGGATGAAAACCAAATATGTATTTTACAGTATCACAGTTATAGAGCCTGAAAGGCATTCATGGTGAATGTCTTCCCTGGAGATTTCATTGGCCAAAGTGAAGCACATGGCTATGCCAAACTATAAAATAGATGGGACAGTGCACCATGCCCAGAAGAATGAGGATTGGGATCTTTGTGAACAATCCTAAAGAATATCAGAGTCACAGACACCCATACAGTCTACATTTGGTTAGAACAATGAGCTTGAAAGCGTAGTTCATATCTTATTAGCTGTGATATGAGTAACATAATTTCCAGTATTCCATTTCCTTGTTTATAAAATGCTAAGAAAACATTGTTTGGAGGACTAAATTAAACATATTTGAACCCCCCCCCCAAAAAAAAATCATCAGTATGAAAGCATTGCAGAGTATCAGTTAACAAGAAGTTTGGTTTAATTTGTTGGCTGACATTTGATAAGTTGCTTGAATTGGTGAGTCAATAAAGCCAAAGATATTCAGTCAAATATTTTTGTGTAGAAATAACTAATGTCATAAATTACTTTGTTCAGTCTGATTATGTCATTCTTTAAAACAGTATAGATTCAATATTTTTTTTCCAATTTTTAAATATAATTTATGCCAAGTTATGTAAACAAACTGTGGCTAAGTAGTGGCTTCACTGATTACGTGGAAAAACTTTTGTCCAATTATGAGAAAAGCCATCTCAGCAATACTGCTCAGTGATTCAACCTGTGTTCTGACGGGCAGATGAATATAGGGTGGGTCGGATTTTGGAATATTTGCAGAACACGTACCTGTTAAGCATCCCTGATCCAGAAATCTGAAATCTGAAATGCTCCAATGAGCATTTCCTTTGAGCGTCATGTGGGCCCTCAAAGAGTTTCACATTGTGGAGCATTTTGGGTTTTGGATTTTTGTATTGGTGATGCTCAACCTGTGTATACTAACCTCATGACTTGATGAAAATCATTATGGCACATTCAGACTCAGTGACCTCATATTCCCAATTTTTTTTTTTTTTTTTTACTGAATGAAATAATTAATCAATTCAATCAATGTTGTATATTTTATGCCTGATACTCCTATAATATATCATTGAACAGCAACAAACATGTTGCAAATATTTACTTAAGTTAAACAAAATACACAGAGTATGAGAAGATGACATAGAATTTTGAAGGAAAAAATAAAAATAAAAAAGGAGTATGAGAAGGATGACCAGAAGTTCTAATTTTGAATTAGGTGACAAAGAAAGACCTCACCCAGTAGGGATAACTCAGCAAATGTCTGATTTGGAGGAGAGCCCTCAGGCAGCAGAAACAATGACCCGTGATGTCTGGTGGACGTGTTCCGGTGTTCCGGGGTCTGTGCAGACACCAGCACAGAGCGATTGGGGGGCGGTAGAGAAGCCAGGGAGGGTCCAGATAGGCAGGACACAGTGAGCAAGATTCTCTGTCTCTGAGTGAAGCAGGAAATCACTTTAAAGCTGTAGATAGAAAAATAGCAGGACTGGACTAATGTTTTATGAGCATCACTCTGTATGCTTTATTGAGAATAAATTACAGAGAGGCAAAGATTGAAGTGAGAAACACGGTTAGAGGCCACTGCAATAACTTCAGGAGAGATGACTATGGATTGGAACAGGTGTGAGTACTGGAGACACTGAGAAGTGGAGAGATTCTTGGTATGTTTTGAAGACTGAGCTGGTAAGATGTACTGTTGGATTAGTTATAACATGTCATGCAAAGAAGAAAGCCATGAATGATTCCAAGGTTTTGGGTCTCCAGAACTAGCATAATGAAGTTGCCGTTTACACTGATGGGTGAAGTTGCTGGTGAGGCAGAAGGTGAGTTAGGTTTTGAACATGTTGATATTGCTAAATATCCAAGTGTTGATGTCAGGTAGTCAGATGCATTTACAAATATCGAGTTTGAGGAGGAAAGTCTAAGCTAGAGATATGCATTTGGAATCAGTCAGCATATGGATGTGATTTAATAAAAGCATTGAGCCAGCCAACCTAAGGAAACATAGGGAGTCAGCTCAGAGAGAGAGAGAGAAGAGGTCCCAGTCTTGAAACCAAGGTTTCTCCAGCAGTAGGGATAGAGGAGAAAAGGAGAGAACAGCAAAGGAAACCAAAGAGGAGGGAGTAGAGAGGGAGGGAAAGCATGGATGACTGGTACCTTTGGAAAAGAGCAGGGAGGTTTTTCAGGACAAGTGGATTCTCAACCGTGCTGAGTGCTACAGAGAAATCATGTAAGGTGAACTCTGACAAGTAACCACTGATCAGTGTGGAGGTCGCTGGGAAGACGGACATGAGCAGTCTGGTTGGGGGATGGTTCTGTCACGATGAGCAATTGAGTTTAATAGAGAAGGGGTAGGGGGCTATCAAAAGCCACTCCATAGATCTCTTTTTCTATAAATGAAAAGACGAGTGTGCTGGAGCAGGAACGGTGTGTGACGTTCCATAACATATGTTAAATAAACCTTACAGAATTCCATGGAGACCTACATTTCAATCCCTGTTATTCATTACTTCTAGAGTTTGGGGAAACACATAAACTCTGTGACTCTGAATCTCTTCATCTCTAATGCAGGAATAGGAACGGCTGTGTTGAGGGCTGTTACATGGTTGATATAGATAATGTGCACGCAGCGCCTAGTTATGTGGCCACTCAGGTTTGGGCATCAATAAAATTTCACTAGAAGTGGTTTAAACATGAGTAAGATTAACAGTAGTAGTAGCAGTGGTTGTGGTAGTAGTATTTGTTACAATATTAAAAATAAAACTATGTTAATGAATTTACTACTTTTGAATAAATATAAGGAAATACTCTGAATATGTTACATCCTCCCTTCACTGAGATTTCATGTCTAGATGTATTTGTTTATTATGTATACAGGTCAAATGTCACATCAATCTTGCTGGAACTTCACAGTGTCATTATTAGATTTTTATTTCTGTGTAACAAATTACCACAAACTTAGCTGCTTAAAACCACACCAATTTATTAGCTCATAGCTCTGAAGAGCAGATATCTAGGTGGGATCAGCTGGCTCCTCTGCTTTGGTTTTCACAAGGCCAAAATCAAGATGTTGGTCAGTCTGAACTTCTTTGAAGGGTCTGGGGAAGAGTCTACTTCCAGGTTTATTCAGGTCATTGTCGTAATGTAGTTCCTTGCAATTGCTGGACTGCAATCCCTATTTTCCTGCTGTTGGTTGGAGGCCACTCTCAGCTCTAAAGATCACCTGCCTTTCTCCTCATGTGACCCTTCATTTTCAAAGCTGGCAGTGATATATCAAATCCAAATCTCTCTGATTTTCCTCTCTGCCACCAACCCAATAGCTAGAGAAACCTTTCTGATTTTAAAAGGGTCATGCAATTAAATTAGACCCACCCAGATAATTTCTCTCTTGTGATATAATGTAACATATCATGAGGGCAACACCAAGGTGTACAAGTCATGGGGTCCACTCTAAAGTTCTGCCAATCACAATAATATAACTTTGAAAGCAGTAGATTTGGTTT